CATCGTTTGGATAAGTACTACCACTTGGCAAAAGAGCATGGCTACATTTCTCAAACCGCATGGAAGCTGGTTCAACTTGATTCAAAGTTCGGTTTTCTCCGTTCGGCTAATTCTGTGCTTGAGATCTGCGCCTCACCGGATGGATGGATGCAAGTGGCTGCCGACATGATTTTTGTGACAAAGTTTTTAACGAGGTAACTTCATAACGCATTCCAATAAATAATGTGATTTTTTTTTTCATTCATTAGGTTTCTTTACTTGATTTATCATAGTAATATTTTAATAAGACATTTTTTTGTAGTGAATATAATAACTTACATGACGTTTACCGACAATGTAATTTTATGATTTTACATTCACATGCTATTAATTGTATATGATGTTTTCGAAGAGAGTAATAACAAATTCTATTTTTCATCGGATCATGTAAACTAAAAGCCAAACAAGGATAGATGAACATCTTGTTTGAAAAAGATATTATTTGAAATTGTAACATGAAAAAATAGAATATAATTTATTAATTTTATTTTTTTTAAATTTTTTGAAAGACGGTACGTTGAAAACACCAATATATAGGGTAATTGGCGCAAAACGTCCCTACCTATGATGGGTTCTGTGGAAAACGTCCCTACGTTTGATTTTTTGGTGCAGAACGTCCCTACCTTTGCATTTTCTTGCGCAAAACGTCCTTTTCACCAATTTTTAACATAAAATGACCATTATACCCTCATATATAAATAAAACAAAAAAGAAAAGAAAAGAAAAACAAAAAATAAATTACAATCTGATCCTATACTTTTTCAAAAATGTAAATTAGTCCAAAAAACTAATTTAATTTCACCCAGCACAAAATCTAATTCTCTCCCTCCATTCTCTCTCTACAAACCATCGCCTCCCTCCAACCTCAATCCATTCTCTCTCTACCGACCATCATCGTCGGCGACTTCAGATAATTTATTCCGGATTGACAAGCTTGTTGAGTATGATGCCCTGCTTTTGGATCGATTTCTTGATATTCTTCAGGATTTACGTGGGGAGGGTCTCAAGGAAACAGTAGTATTGATGTATTTATTGTCTGTTTTAGGTTGATATTGGGTAATGACCCTATTTCGTTCTCAACAAATTTGAGGCCGACTGCCTGATTTATTTGTCTGTTGGTGCGGTTCATTGATAGATCTACTGGCTATTTTGTGATGTTCATATTTAAGAACCATTTCTGTAATCTGAAGTGTTATGAGTCATTGAATTTTGGTTTTTGGGGCACCGAAATTTGTTCCGCTGAATTTTAACAAATACCCAAAGAAGTTGTCTTTCCTATCAAAGATTGAATATTTATGCGTTTGCATTGGTAAGTTAAAGTCGGTGTCATTCAGCTTTCTTTGATTTCAGCAGGTGATTTGTTGTCTATATTAAGAGTTTCTCAGTCAACTTAGGTTACTTAGCGAGTGGCCTCTTTTCCGTTGTTGTAGGTACATGAATGTTACGAGATTTCCGCCGAGTATGAAGGCAAGAACGACCCCAAAAAATTGGAAGAGCTCGGAAATGTATTGACGAGTTTGGATCCAGGGGATTCAATTGTTGTTGCAAAAGCTTTTTCTCACATGCTTAACTTGGCCAACTTGGCTGAGGAGGTTCAAATTGCTCATCGCCAACGAAATAAAAAGAAAAAAGGGGATTATACTGAAGAGAGTTCTGCAACAACTGAATCTGACATTGAAGAAACTCTCAAGAGACTTGTGGTTGATCTAAAGAAGTCCCCACAAGAAATTTTGTGAAGAGAGAGGTTGGATGGAGGTTGGAGGGAGGCGACGGGTTGTAGAGAGAGAATGGAGGGAGAGAATTAGATTTTGTGCTATTGGATGAAATTAAATTAGTTTTTCGGACTAATTTACATTTTTTTAAAAGTATAGGATCAGATTGCAATTTATTTTTTATTTTTCTTTTCTTTTCTTTTTTGTTTTATTTATATAGGAGGGTAGAATGGTCATTTTATGTTNTTTGTTTTATTTCAATTGGAGGGTATATAGGTCATTTTAAGTTAAAAATTAGGGAAAATGACGTTTTGCGCAAGAAAATGCATAGGTAGGGACGTTCTGCACCAAAAAATCAAACGTAGGGACGTTTTTCACAGAACCCGTCATAGGTAGGGACGGTTTGCGCCAATTACCCATATATATATTTGTATGAGAATAACATCAATTACTTCTTTGTCGATCATTAGCGATCAAATAATTATTGGTAATCGTCGACCAAAACCTATTCACATTTTTCACGATTTCTTCATTTGATCTTCCAAGATTTGACAATTAAAAACTAACACGAATATTAAGCAAGCCAATAAATAAAACTTGTAAAA